GCTAAAACACAGATGCATGTAAAAATGCACTATTTTATTCTGTGGAGACGCCTGATTTTCAGGGTATTGTTAGTACGGGTGCATAGCTTTGCTCTGTGGCAGACAAGTGATCACCTGCCTTCTTCATGGCTGGCATATAATGGGGGCTACAAACTGGGGAGACTAAAGAGTTGGGGTTCAGAGAGACCATTTGCCTTGCTGTTTGCCAGTTGAGGTTTGGAGAGAGGAGGCTTCAAATGTACTTTAGCACCACAATTTTTCCTATTCAGCCAGGACGTTTCTCCATAATTGCTTGCAGGTTAGAAGGACATTTGGACCCTCACCAGGCAAAGCTCATGAGTATTTCCAAGTCAAGAGCTTGGAAGTGAACAGGATTACTCACCTATTTGAGAGCTCAAAGGAGCAAAGGAGGCAAGGTTTGTAGGGAGAGGTAAAGTTTTTTCACGAGGAAAACTGATATCATTGGAAAAAATGGACAAGCTCTCATGGAGACAAGCTCTAAGCACGAGCCCTGTCAAAGGCTTTCATTTCTGAATTACTTGGTTCACACCTTCAGTTGCGTTGAAACACCTCAGGGCCAGTTTCCTCCCATTTTGAGGCACCTGGCTGCCGAGCCTTTTCCCACAGCTTTGCCAATGGGATCTGAACTGCTCTCTAGATGTACCTACCTCTTTTTTTCCCAGGGCACCTCAGGCACCTCCTGAATTATGTGCATATAATTCAGGGGGATTTAGGACACCTGACGTGTCATGTAATGTTACACAACTACATCCCAGATCCTGGCTTTCAACATCTAAAATCCAGCAAACCTCGACGGGGTGATTTCAGGCTGAGTTTCTTTGTGGTTCCATTATGGTGGTTTTGGACAATGATTAGCTGCAACATAAAGCAAATCTAAAAACAAATCTGGCTCTGAATTCCCTATATACTCAATCCTCTAATCCACCCGCACATAATCTGTTCTATCATACAGCCCTTGGTGTAGGTGTGTAGTTCAGAGCTGATGACTGAACGCTATTATGTGAGCACCCACATGGTGCTATAGCAGACGGAGTGATGCTGCAGTTCTTCCTTTGCACAGCAGTCAAGCTCGGGCATCCTCACACACCCCCCCAATACCCTTTCACCCTATCTGTGCTCTTCTTTAGCACACTGCAGTGCCAGGGAATGGGTTTCCACAGACCAGACTGCTTCAGCAGGATGGAGAAAGGTATTTACTTGCATTTGACATCACCAGAGCAGCAGGATCCCAGCTCTGCAGGTGAGAGTGGAAAATATGATGTACTCTGCTTTGTATTGTGCAAACCCATGAGGTGATGGTTGGTTTTTGTGATGGTGAGCAAGAGAAGAGGGTGAGGATAAGGATTTCAATTGCGTGTTCTCCAGATATTCCACCATATTTGACATACATGGTCTTCATGTAGTTCACCTCCTGTTGGGGAGATTGAAACCCTACTAGAAGTTATGTTGGTGAAACAGCTGCACTTACAATATGTATATACAATTATAAAAACCATTCCTTGCTTTCAAGAGTAAAACATGCCTTTTACTTGCATACAGCACACATTCTTACTTCCCTCCTCTCTCCATATATATTACTTACTCTACAAAGAGAACTTTAAAACCAAATCACTTCTTAGACCTATTTCTATTTGCCAGCCTTCACATTATGCGCTGAATGCTGAGTTCCTGAAAAACTAAGGTGAACAAGTGCTACTGCCTGCCAGTAAAATAAGTTGTGCTACAGGAAGCATTTGAATGTTAAAAAACCCCCAACAAAACAACAACTTCCACCCACCCAAATATTAATTGAACAAATTGTCCAAAAGCTTTGTATTCTTACATAAATCTACTTTACTATTAAGAAAAGATGTACTAAGATTCAGTCCCTGGCAAGATGCAGCTTAAGAAATGGGGAAGTAGCAACAGGGAGCTCAGAAAAAGCCATGTCAGCAAGATATAGGACAATGCCAATATATCCCATAGATGCTATTTGTCTAAAGGAAACCCTTCTAATTTTAATATCTAATTAAAATACTTACCAAGCATCACATTAGCTAATTCCAAAATCTGTTTCATCAGTATCAAATTTTTCTTGTATCGCTGGGACTGCACAGGTGCATATAAAGGTATAGTTTGAATTTGTTTCTTATGAAACAGCTCATTAAGTAAACTATACCCTGTTTTAGCTATTATCAGATGTGTTTTTCTAGGTTCCCATAATGGCAAAACGAGCGTAAGCCATTCACATCGTTAAAGCTTTGGGAGCTGACCAGGCTTGATACACATGCTTTATGAGACCACGAAGAAAATGTCTGTGAGCAAAGTCCTATCAAGAATGAATCAACGCTTTGTGTGAAAAGGTAATTTCAGCATCTCTGGCCTAGCAAAGTAATGCCAATTTAAGAATATAAGATAGGCCACATTCCAGTCTTGGCCTTGCTGAGTTAGCATGACTTCCTAGGCAAGACAGAGGGACTCAGAGCAGGAGCTCGTGCACTAAGGAAAGAACAAATCAACCTGTGTCATATATCAGCTATTTTCCTACAGGAGCCAACCTCAGAGGTTCCTTTGTGAGTTCTGGAGGTAAAACCAAAGCAGTCAAGCTCCTCTTTAGGCAGTTTTAAATCAGGCTGGAATATTTCATCCAACCACACACCACTGGTCCAGAATCCCAGACAAATGACCGAAGTCCTTCTATTCAGATAACATTTCCAAGCAGGAAAAAAATAGTTTATGTTGTAAGAAACCTCGGTGGGTATTAGTTCATTTCTGTGGTTGGATTTCATTTGAGGCTTTTTTAGGTATGAACACATCCTCATTCTAAGATTCAGGATCGCATCATTTAACGGCTGTAGCCTGTGCCAGCTCTTTGGATTAGTAAATCAAAACAAGGAAGTTGTGAAATACCTTCCCACCATCAAGAAAATGACAAAAGGAACAGTTTTAGGGCTTTCCCTAGCATTTGCAGTGTGGAGCTTGCCAATCAGATCTTGTGCAGTGAGCAGACGAGAACTACTCATGTGACTTCTTTAATTTCAGAACAAAGAACATATAATAATTATTGGTCCTGAAAACTTAAATATGGAATATGCTATAATCCGGAGTTCATTATGGCTTGAGGGACTGGTAATAATAATAAGGCATTACGCAGTCCTAAGGAGCTTCATATCTAGAAGGTAAATACTTAAAAGCCATGGTACATCAGCAAATCCAGAGGCAGGAATAGAGATTATTATGTTTTTAGGTGGGGGAATATTATAATTCTTGTTTTAAATCAGCTTTAAATCTGATTGCAGAAGAGTTTGATTTCAAAAGGATTTGGCGTTCAACAACACAGAAAGAACCCGCATTTCAGACACTTTCTACTGCTTCTCTGTTGGTATTCCACGGTAAAAAAAGAGCCTGAACTTCATCAAGAATCAAACAAACTGAAGTTAAACGCTTTGATCACGTAGTGGAAATAGGAAGCAGATAACTGTGTTGTGCTTTCCTTTATTGTTTCGCCCTCAGACCAGGACGACCAGTATAAAGTCACTGTTTGCTCGCCCTTTGTTTACACTTTATACATACAATGTTTTGATCATCTCGGTTCAGTTTCCATAGAGAAGGACCCTCACTGCAAAAAAGGCAACCACAAAACTGCCCTTATATTTCACAAGGGCCACAAAACCTGGGTGGTTAAAGTCATAACATGACCAATTTATCCCTAAAGCAACTAATAGCAACTGAGCCACAAATTTACATCCATAATAACAGATAATCTATAATATCTAACTCTAGTTATAGACCTTAACTATAGTTACTTCATAACTCTAGTAAATGTATTATGGGTGATTAATTAGAGGTTGCAATTGGGTATTTTGTCTCCTGAAGGGCCAGGCTGCCTTCAGTCACCTATGCTATGCTTTGCTTTGACATTGAGTAATACAGGTCTTGTGGAGGAAAAGGAGAGAAGAAATCACCTTGGGGGCACTCTGGATTTACTTCTTGGAAGTGTCGGTGGTTTCATAGTCCTCCACATAAGAGTTCAGTCACGGGCTGCCCATGTTCCAGCTACATATATTAGCCATTGGACATACGATGGAGAGAGACTAGTGCAAAACTTGCCCTCTGAAATACAACTTTTGGGTAGAAATGAATCCTACAGGACTGAGTTTCCTATTGGTTGTGTTTCTGAACAGCTGCTTTAGCCAGCTTGGCTGCTGTGAATCCTCTCATTAAGATGCTACCTCTCCACAAACACCAGAAGTAGTGCAGGTCACAGAGCCCATTAGTCAGCATAAATGTTCTGTTTCTATAGTGCTTGACATTGGCTGGAGGGTGCTTCTGGATTTAGCACTGACGAGTGACCTGTGGTCTTATAGAAAAGAGCCTGCTCCTGCAGCAAGGGACTCTTGGGCAAGTGCTCTGTGAAACTAAGGGTGGGAAAGTCAAGAAGATAAGAAAAGCATCCCAAAGAAGTCCCTGAACTGAGGGAAAGGTAAGGGCCGGATTAATGTTCAACTGCTTCGTTTTGGGGTTTGCCATGAATAACTAAGTGTAATTAATAAATAGTGCCCTGAAGATAAGATCAAACAGACTTTGGGTGTGGTGCTTAATCCTTCCTGAGGTGGGGAGTAAGGCCAACAGCCTATAATGGATTTAACTAATTCTCTTAATTGAGGCTTCATTTGCCTGATCTTTCTAAATGGTATTAATCTAGTGATTTGCAGAATAAGCACTTGGAAAAGATTTACCAAAATCATGGTAGGATCTCAAGGATAGATTTCTCTTCTTAGACTATTTTTTTTTTTTGCAGTGGGAGAAGAGAGTTCACTGACAATGCAAATTCTCTTAATTTGGCTGAGCATTCACAGTCTTTGTTGATACGAAATGAGAATTTAAAATGTCATTAACACATTCAACCTTTAGAATTGACGTTGGTAATGACAAAGTCTGCAAGGCTCCTAATTAGTTATTTATAGATTAAATACTTTGTAGGAGACAGAACTGCAGTGTTTCACTCTCATTTCTGAGCTGGGTACTGGAGTACTGCAGAGATTTCCATGTCTTACAGAAGCATTCACTAGAAACACCTCCCACATGTTGGCAACCAGGCTGGGAGACAATGAGATAATCACATCTCTTTATTACACTTTGCCTGGACAACAACAAATCTGCACAACAAGCCTTCAGCCGTGAGGAAATTCCAGCTAAGAGAAGTTATAGCTCATATCCTCAGGTTTTCCACATCAGATCTGCCCTCTGCTCACACCGCCTACCTCCACTCAGGTGTTTACTTCCCTTTCTAAGCTGAGCAGAGCAGAGCTAAGACAACTAATGGAATCTTGAGAGGCAGACAACAGACAGCAGCTTCCCTCCTTGGGCACAGTGGAAGATCTCTGAGACTGGTTTGTTGGAGAAAAAGCAAATGAGCTACAGCTCACATGGAAAGAAGTGAAGCTGAGTGAATGCTGTTGACTTGCTGTAGGTGACTGTTCCAACTTTGACACTTGAGCCAGTTTGAGTTTGATCCCGTTCATAAGTATTCAAAGGTAACTTCTGTTCTGCTTGCCTGAAAGTCAACAACATCATTTGTGCTTTCACCCGTGCAAATAAAGAGCACCTTGGCTCAGCGGTGCAGCATCCACCAGTGAAGTCCAGTTCTGCCATGCCTTTAGCTCATGGGAAGGATTCTTCTAGCTTTTAATTATAAGATAGGATCACGTTATAGAAAAAAAAAACCTTCATCAAGTAACCTTAAAACCTTAAAAAGTAACAAAAACCTTAAACAAGTAACATGGGCTGTCTAAGCACGCACACAGATGTGATGCTTTCATGTGGGTTCACACTGCTTGTCCTTTTACTTCCTATGGTTTGCTGCCTCCATTGCTGTGTTTCGCCTTCAGCTGGGCTATAAGCCATTAGGAAAGACTTTTTTTCCCTCTGTGTTTGTACAGCATCAAGCACAGTGAGGCTCCAAGGGCTCCTCACCCTACTGTACCATTAATAGTTAAGAACAGTCATTATTTTATTCTCATTATCAAATCAAAGAAATAACACTGCTTCAAGGCTGCACATGCTGTTGCAAGTAGCAAAGTGCTTGTGATACCTGTAGCCCTTTTGCTACTCTTAGCTAGCCACTAACTCACTTAATTTTGTGTAGTTTAGCACATTACAAGATTGTTCAAGAGTGCCATAAATGATGTCAGGCACCATCAGAAACCACTTCAGAAAATCATTGCCTGTAGCCAGATCAAAAGGTGAACACCTGGAAACTTGCAGTTCTGGGAAAGCAGAATAAATCTCTTCTCCCCCCCCACCCCCTTCTCTTCCTCTTGGAGATTTGTTTCTTTTTGCCTTAAAGAATTTGAAAGGTTTATTTACAGCTTTTCAAATGACCCCTAATCTATTTAGAAAAACATAGCATGGCAAATTCATCTCGGGTGTAACTCCATTTGTTGACTTAAGCAGCCTTGTGCCAGAAGGGAGCCTGGCCCAGGAGTTTCTCTGCAGACAGAAAACAAAGCACTTGAATACAACACTTAATTTGCTTGTTGAGTCCCATCACAGGCTGTCCTGGAATATATTTATTAAAGGTAATTCTTCTATTTTGGTGAGATTATATCAGTAACTGAAACTCACGGTATTAGCTCTAAACCTTGCCTAGTTCCTTAGGCTTCGCTGCTTGAGGCTGATAATTTTCACAGCACCTGACAACATTTAAAGAGACATTGTATTATGTAGTTTGGTGAAACCTAAGACCATAAATAACTGGGAAAGTTGCTTGTTTTGTCAGATATCAGCAATGTAGTTAATTAAACAATCCATCAAGGGCAACTTTGGGGAAGTAATGTGAAAAGTTATTTACCGTGGTACTGCAGAATTTAGCGCCTGTTGCAAAGATAGAGAGTCCATAAGTAATAGTAAAATCATGCCTGTTATAGCTGACTTCATCAACACATAATTGGTTTGTTTAAGCTTACAAATTGCTGGCATTCTTCTCTTGACCAGGTTTATATATTGATTCACTCATTTTCTCAGTGAGGCCCAAACCATGAATACTTTCCCCAGTAAAAGAGCCTGGGGCACAAAGAGACCCATCAGAAATGGTAGCTGATGCTTTTTGTGTGATATATGCTAAACATAAAGCATGAATCTGGCTGTCAGAGCTCTCTCTCTATGTTGTATACGGAGCAGGGGCACAGCATGTTGGGGGAAAGGACTGGCAAAAAGGATAAGGAAAAAACACGAAGCAGAAAGCAGGGAGAAAATTAGGAAGGGTGAAACACAGAGGAGTTCTGAAAAGCAGAAATCAGCAAGTGAAATTGGGAGGTAGAGACAGGGCCAAAGCATCAATAGACAACCAACCCTCTTCCCTGCATGGCTGTTTAGCGGATATACCTGTTTATAGTATGAACCCTCCCCAAAAGGAGCCATATTAAGAAATCAGTGATGAAGTCAACAGAAAACTGAATAATGTGTTTTGGGTATATTTTGCAAGAATCCATCCGTTTGCTTTCATTTAGATGCTAACAATGTGATTGTGTTACAGCAAACTGGGGTTTGGCTTTCTCAAGTACAAAAACCATTACGATCTTAATTACTATGAGTGGCTTGCTTTAAAGCATAGCATTTTGTGTAGGTTTGTAGATTTCCATCCCCTTTCTTCAGACATTAATATACCAGAGTGAGAGTTGTGCTTTCTGTGCTCTTCTGACCTTTCACCAGGACTTTGGTCACATACTTTATAAGAAAATCCTGAGGCCACAGAGCATATGCAAACACATATCAGGCTGAACTGATTGGGACAGCACTAAGAGGGGAATATGTTTCAAAGATGATAATTACCTTCCATATGCAAGCAACCTGATTTGCAGGCAAAGGATAAATAGAGTCTTTTAATGAGGCACCCAAACATTTGCATTTTCCTTTTACAAACCAACTCCTTGCTAAAGAAGCTGGCCTGGTGTATGCACATGCATTGCTCCTACAACCAATTTGTTTACTATGTATGCTAATAGTACATATTTATTGGTAGCAAATACAAATGCCAATAATTCAGCCAGGGCAAAAATATGAAAGAAAATAAAAGGAGCGTTCTTTAGAAGGCTGGTTTGCTATATCCAAGGAACTTTCGACTTTATACACTGCAAGAACACTCTTTCTCATACGGAACAAGAGCAGGTAATTTAAAAGAAGCAAATATAAACAGTAGCAACCCCCAAACAATTCTTTTGAAATATAGTGTATGAAATGCCCAAATTATTTCTCCTATATATAAACATATATATGATCAGATATAAACATATATCTGATCCAGCATCACTGGGACTTTAAAACTGACTTCACAAGAGCAAGATCAAGCCCTGTAGCAACAATATTATAGACTTGTTTGATGTGGAATTACAAAGTCTGAAAACTTCTGGTGAGCTCTCCTGTACGAAGCAACCTTACAATTCTTTCAGTGGTTCCAGGTTACAGATGACAAACCTAATCTGAAGAGGAACATTTCTATGTTTGATGTTAACTGTAATAACAACTATATTCAGTTAGACCTCTTAAACCTTTTAAGAAAGCAGATACTTGACACATAGTTCTTATTTTTGTAATAGCTGTATCCCCCAAAAGCTTGAAGTGATAAATCTGAATATAGAGTAATGTTTCTCAGTATTTCCCATACAGTTTGTACGTATTAGGATTGCATAATAAATAGATGTTTTAAATATTTGTTCCAAGAGGTCTTCCCTTGAACTTAAGCATAAGTTATCTAAACAGTTGAAAAAAGATTTATAGTTATGAAGAGGCCTATATGTCAAGCAAAGTTTTATGATATGTTCCATAATAAATTAGCAATAAATGGATACAGGTGACTCTGGAATTTATGGCCTTTAATGTTTTAATGCTTCACTAAAGAAAAACCTATTATTAAGGTCTTAAAGGGTAATACAGGAATACCATCTACAAATTGTCAAATTAAATAGTTGTTGCCAGGTATTTGAACAGTGGAACGTTTTGGCTTGACCAGCAGTAGGGGTAGACGGCAAAGAAAGTAACAGAAAACCAGATCACTTCAGAAGTACAAATGAAGATTTCACCCTGCAAACCCTACACAATGTGTCACCTCTGCTCCAGCTGCACTGAAAATGATGGTCCTGATCCTTCAACTCCTCACATTTGTAATTATCCAGGTAATCCAAGTCTAGGGCTCTGTATTACTCCTATAGGTAAAGGCTACAGGATTCATCCCAGTTTAACTGATAGCTAAAAGCTGGTGAGTGAAGCACCGTTCCCTGCTTTGCTCGGAGATCCTTTCTAATGTTTCTATCCACATGAAAGTTATTGCTGGAATTCAAGCAATAACACACTGTGGGAAAGAAAGAGATTTTACTGTCCTAATACTGCGACCTCAGGTAACACTGGAAACTGCCCTAAAGCACATTGGGGTAAACACCAGAACTACCACAGATGTCTACGAACCCTTTCTGCTAACACCTCTTAACTGATTAAACCCCATCAAAAGATAAAAATATGGATCAAGCTGATGAGAATCCCATCAGAAGATAAACCAAACCTTTGGGTCAAAACACAGATGGTATTTGGTGGGGTAAAGAGGCAGCGAATTACCTGTGAAGGTAAATCAGACCTGGCAGCAAGGAGTTAAGATCCCAAAGACACTTGGCAGTGCCTGCTCACTCATGGCAAACAGTTTTCCCCCCTGGGATGTAACACAGACCCAACCCAGCACTCCAGACAAGACTGGGTCAAAATTGCTTTTTCAGATTAGGCATACCCAGGCCATTAGCATGATGTCTGCACGTTAACACATCAGCACAAAGATAGGCAAGGGGGAGGGGGAAAGAGTTATGCAAAAGGACTCTGCAACTGCCATTGGGGCAGACATCTCTAACAGGAAACACATGTTATCCAAGCCTATGCCTAATAGGGTTGAACAGTAATTAAAAAATATCTTTTATTTGGAGAGCTGGGTCTTGAAACTACCAACTCGCACCATTAATCTTCTTGATCTACTGCAAAGATCTGCAGCAAGGGTCAGCGTGCAGGATCTCTGCCATTTGTACAGGGACGAGCACACTGACAGGACAGTGAACTGTAAACCAGACACAGTCGTTACATACAGTTATCGATGAGCAGTGGTTGGGAAAGGGGTCATACGGGACCCATTACCTGGTAACATCACCAGCTCTCATGTCACTGGGCTGCCATTGGTAAATCACCTTGAAAACTGCTCAGAAATGAAATTTAGGTGAGGCAATTGCATGGGGAAACTATCTGACTGGAATGAGAAGCAGGAAGAAGGCTCAGGAAAAGGTATCACTGCCCTCAGGCTGCCTTGTTCTGCTTGTCAGAGATGGCAGAGCGAAACCCACTGCTAGGCTGGAAATGCTGAGATTTGCTTAAGACATTTATGCTCCCACGTGTGAATGTGTAAAATGGGTTGTCTAAACTTCAAGCCATACCATGCTAACTGTGCCATAACAGTTAAAGCAGCAAACCCAAGTCATCTGTCCCATGCTGCACATTTTCCTCCCAGCGATAACACAGGTCTGCTTCACCAAATGGTTATGTTGTTCCAAGTTACCCCAAGCTGGGGAACCTTTCTGGTCTGAAGCACCCTGACATCCTCTATGAGTAAAACTAAATCTGCACAGGGGCTGATACGGGTATAACCAGGCAGTTTGTGGTCAGGAGAAAATCTACCCATAACCAGAACAGTCCCAAATCCCCATCTCCCAGCAGAGCCTGGAGGGCAGTGTTTTAGCCAGCCTCTTACCTCAGAAGGAGTGTCAGTTTAAGACCTGTTGTCATTCAATTAATCTCCAGCATGGCCACAGTGTAGAGAGAAGCTCTCCACTTCAGACAGCCTGGATAATCATTAATTAACCCATTAGTCTTGCTCACTTCCCATTTCCTTTCCTTTCTGTGCTCTACTGTCGTAACACCACTAGATGTTTTCCCCTATTTTGACAGGACCAAGATTTTCTCTTTGGTTTGGGGGGGGGATGCTTTTTGGTTTTGATTTTTTTCCTCAGATTTTGGAGTGCTTTTAAAAGAATTTGCTGAGCACCTGTGATTTCATCTGGAAGTTGTTTTTATCTTCATGCTGTGAAGAGCTAACTTCCAGATCACCCTCCCGTCCATATGCCTATCAGATGTGTTCATGTTGTGCTGGGCTGGGCAGGGTGTGGGGGGGGTTCACTATGAACTATGAGTGCATCTGACCCTTAGCAATGACTGCTGCAGGTGAGTTGTAAGGCTATCTGCCTGTTCAGATAAAACTCAGATGCTATGCTACAGGTACAACCTCTGCTCCCAAGAGCCTTCTGCTGTGCTCTGTCCAGGGGGACGGGAAGGCTCCTTTGCCACCAGGGACCTTTACAGCTACAACAGAATCATATATTATGAAAACTCTAAATAACTGCTATGTTTCTTTGTAGTTTTATTTGTTATTCATCCCTTGACGTACAAATGCTATATCAGTGTAAAAGACAGATTATCAAATAAAGACCCCATGGTTATTTCTTTCAATTCTCCCCCAGGACAGAAGAAACTGAGGTGATTGTAGGAACAAAGGATTAGTTTAGCTTGAGCAAATGTCCCCAGGTCTGACTCTAGAGTACAATATCACCTTTCTGTTGTCTCTGAAGTACTTTCACTCAGGTAATATGGGGGAAAAGACACAGATACATTCTCCTTAGACAACAGAAGTTAGTAGACTTAGATCTAATAGTGATCACTCTTAGGTTAATAGTGGGTTTATGACTCACTTCAGTAGCTGTGATGAAGAATCCACATATAGAAATATTCTGGAAAGGTCAGTTCACAAAAAAACCTCAGCTTCTGGGGATAGGGCAAGTAAACCCATTCTTGTGCAAAGACAACTGATATCTTCTTGTAAGTAAAAAGTTAGAAAAAATAGGACAGATTTGATGCTTCAAGGCAACAGCTATTTAATTTACACATGTAGCCGGCATATTTGTGCGAACCAATATAGGAAACTGCACTACAATTTTACTGCAGGTCTCTTCATTAGAACTACAGGCTTCTAAAATACGATTTTCAGGCTTTTCTGCCTCTATCTATTATTCCACCATGATAAAGGTTTAAACATATTATATAGCTATGTTTCTTGAGTTTTCCAATGTATGTATATTTTAATGGCTTCTACAGTAGTGTTTAAATGAGTATGAAGAAATAAAATGTATGGATTTCAGACGCTTCTGAGTTTAAAAGCAGACTGAAAAATGTGGAAGTGAGGAAGTGATGAGGTATAATGAATCACAATTGCTTTGCATTTGGGATTTTCAAACATGTTTAAACCATTGGAATCTTTTCCTGCATTCAGACATATTTCTAATGGCTTTAAAGATTCTTTCTTCATATAGATGCTGTGCATTGGGAATGGGGGTGAATCAAAGCCTGACTCTGGATGTTGCCCTTCCAAGGATGTCTAGATGTTCCTGCACCACTACTTGAATTTTGCAGCTAAGGTCCCTCCCTACTATGTCCAGGATTGCCAATTCTCACAACACTTTGTGTAAGGTACCATTTGAGTACTAAAATTGTATCAGTGGGCTACGAGGGCTATAGCTCAGGAGGAAGGGATGCTAACCTTCAGTTGCAGGGCTGCTGCCTGGAGACTGGACTGCAGGAAGAGATGAGGTTTCCAGTGACTATCAGTGCAATATTACTTGTCATGTCCTGCAAATGTGATTGCTTTCCTGCCTGAGAAGTGTGTATGGAGCTAAAAAACAGTACACACTGATGAGGTGATGTGTGGCTTTCATGCCCAGTTTGCTGGAACCACTGTCAAGAGTAACTGGGACTGGAGGGAAAGGGGAGCAAAGTTTGCTGTTAGACACAAAGGTAGGGTGAGCTGGATGCAAGCAGGAGGCCTGTCAACAGGAATGGAGAAGGTGATCGAAGGAATGCAAGGCAGAGCCAAAGAAAGATGAAGAATTGAAGGTGGGGATTTTTCTTCTAGGAACAAGACAGGACTACCCAAAAATCAGAAACAGCGAGAAGAGGTTAAGCCTACTAGAAGGACGGGGTTGCTGTTTGCAAGATGAGGATGATGATGGTGAGATCGCTGTTTGAAAGAGTTGCTGTAAGAGATGGTACACGTACCATACTGCTGGAAAAGAAATAAGAGAAAAGAAAAGGAGTGTCTGTTCATATGATTTTAGACATTACAGGAGTTACTTTAGAGTCTGCACATGAAAAAATAGGCCAACAATGTTGATATTGTTCAAGACCAGGTTGGACGAGGCCTTGGGTGATATGCTTTAGTGTGAGGTGTTCCTGCCCATGGCAGGGGGGTTGGAACGCGATGATCTTAAGGTCCTTTCCAACCCTGACTATTCTATGATTCTATGATATTGGGGATACTTTCCACATGCTCAGCAGGAGCTTCCTAGAGAGTCTTCTAATGCTGAAAAAGAAATACCTAAGAAAAGCACCAGTAGCTATGACTGTGTCTTCATGAAATTTAAAGGCACAATTGCACATACAGCTTCAATATAAAGCAACAGTCTAAGCTGCCTTGGTTACTGTCTGACTTCCTGGGTTTATTTATTTATAGTCTATTGTTTCCTGTTAAGTATTTCTGAGTTGGTGATAATGGAGCACGATGCTTTTTTTTTTCCTTTTCCTCTCTTAATGGTATAGAGCAAAGTGGGGTTTATATCCAAATACATGAATCTCAATTGACAGCAGCTTAATGGCTACTTTCTTAAATACTACAATGCCTAACTTGACAGCATTTCTGCTGTGATTTATACAAAAGCCAAGTTCAAGGCAATTCTCTTTTTTAACCTTCTCTGACAATACTTCCTTGTCCTATTATTTTCTTGTTTATTTCAACTCAAGGGGGACTCAGGGTGTAGGGGGGAAACGTGGAAGTTATGCTAATGAAATTCTGCATTTCTCTGTTAAAGATAGAAGCATAATCTTTCACTGACGTGCTTCTTCCAAATTCAAGCAGGCAGGATCAAAAGTATTCTCTCAAAAATCAAGCAAATCTGTAAAACTCTCTAGAACACAAACTTAAATCAGAGCAGAGAACACTACAGCTTGAAATCAACAGTCAAGTTCAAATATAAAGCTGAAATTCCACCACTGATGATGCTGTGTGGTGAATCTAGCCCAAGCTTTTGTCTGTAAAACAGGTTATCAAACATCCCTCTCTGGGAATGGCCGAATGAAGTGATACCAGAGAGTCACCTCTCCAGGAATCAAACCAACTGCAACTTGTCTGGTGTTGGATGTCTGGTTCTGGTTTTACTTCTACAAGGCTGAAGTTAAACTATATATTCTTGCGCTCTGTCATTTGACAGAAGAATGTACTCAGCCCCCTACCATTTGCACTGCTTATCTTGCTGCCATCGTTAAGAGAACCTACTGCCTTGTAAAAATGCAACTACACGTGTTTCATAAAAGTCGATATAAAAATAACAACACCGGGGTACTCACATCTTTCTGGAACAATTGAATTCTGAAACAAGCATCTCTGGTTCTTCCTCCTGCAAATGGATCAAATTACATTTCACTAGGTAATAAAGTGTGGTACAATAGCCTGCCCAATCTGTTTTCATCTTGTCTTGTACAGAGTCTCAGATATACTTACTCATTATTCAAACTAATGGGCCTGCATTTGGCATATATTGAATGTTAGCGCTCTCCTTGGAAGTTGCAGAGGTTAACTGCTCCTAACAGTCTCTTTCCTTCCTTTCTGGGCATGTTTTCACCATCGATAATAGAAACAACAGAACTGAATGTCATAATACCCTAGAATGAAGGTGCTGGTGCAAACCACAGCGATGAAGTAATGGTAGCAATTTTTTTTATCCTAATCCCTGATCATCCCAATGGAACATAGTCCATACCTGGAAATATTTTTAAATGGATCAGGGAAGGAATCTGCTCCTGCCAAAATGCTTGCAGAATGGAATGCCTACATTATTAAGCATTATTATCATTCTTCATTCACTTTACTGGTAATGTTTGAGTGATTGTTGCTATACATAAGGAAGAAAAATGTTGTCACAAGGTGAACTGGAGATGTTACACCCTTCCTTCAGTTACCATTTCAGAGGAGGGAAAATACCTTTCTGAATACAAATGACCTAATTTAATGTTAACTATGAGCTAAATCATATAGTCCTGTAAGTGGTCCTGCTTCAGCAAGTTAAGATCAAAATCACTTTTGAAAACAGAAGCTTAAGAAATATTGTATATAATTCCTAGGCTCTATAGCAAGGAATTACACAAGCTGCTAATCACACACATAAAGTGAATAAACTGTTGGTAACAGTTGAAATGGTTTCTTTGCTCTCATTTTGTGCTATAATATTTTCCTAGTGCCTGCACTCCAAGTAGATATATCACATTTTGATGTAGTGAGGCTCTTTTCAAGGTGTGAAATTGGTAAGTACCAACACCAAAGGAGAAGAAATCTTTTAATACTGCGCTGTGCCACTTGAAGCAGTATTACCCTTTGGCTTGGAGCCACCAAACTCCAGTGAGAACTATTTTATAGCACATGACTATAATAAAAGATATTTAAACATGGCCTAACAATGGATTAAACTAGTAAGACACAGTTTGTGTTAGATCCCAAGGATGAATATCAAAAATAGAGGCAATAGTTTTGAAACAACAGCCAGCAGTGAAAAGTTTACTTCTAATGTAAACCAGACAGTCCCCAAAATAATTTGTGGTTTATTTAATTCTTACCGTTCATCTTGTGTTCTTTTGAGTAAGCTAAAGTAAGACACCCGCCTAAAAACACCAGCTGGTTTCGATTTTGACTCTGGATCTCTAGTGAGCTGAAAAACTGTAATCTCCATCTGCAAGGGTGGGGAGTAATTCCTGTAAACAGGGAAAATAAGGATTTTGCAGCATATGAGAAGGTGCATTTCGGGAGAAGAGAGAAAAACCAACCTCCCTAATATATTATAATGAATTACTGTTTTGTCATTATCTGGTTATATTTGCACAAACATCAATTGCATGTGAGCCCTGAAAAAGAATGTCTCATTGCCTTTAATATGCACTGCAGTATGCACCCATACAAAATCATTACTGTAACAAAACCAGCTGCGTGTAATAGAAAGCAAATGATTTACAATGTTACTATAAGAAACTACTTTATTTCACATTATCATAAAAAGAACAGCACTGAAAATTTGCATGACAAACACAAGAATCCAGGAAATTCCAAATCTAATTCATTTTTAGGTTTTAATAGGTATTAACTCACAGAGGTGAATTGTGAAGAACAA